TTCAATTAGATTTCTGAGGTTCCTGCAATTTTCTTTACAATCCCTTAAAGAAGCATGATATTCTGATAATATATATTAACACTACCATGAAAGAAACCTATAAAAGGTGATGATTGTAGTAAATAATAAAATCTATACAAGAGACACCTATAGTAAATTATAGTCATATCAATAGAATAGAAACCTATAAAAGGTGATGATTGTAGTAAATAATAAAATCTATACAAGAGACACCTATAGTAAATTATAGTCATATCAATAGAATAGAAACCTATAAAAGGTGATAATTGTAATAAATAATAAAATCTATACAAGAGACACCTATAGTAAATTATAGTCATATCAATAGAATAGAAACCTATAAAAGGTGATAATTGTAGTAAATAATAAAATCTATACAAGAGACACCTATAGTAAATTATAGTCATATCAATAGAATAGAAACCTATAAAAGGTGATAATTGTAATAAATAATACAGTCTACGGAATAGAAACCTAGCAAGGTTTTAAATAATGAGAAGGTTTTAGATTTAAATGAAACCTAACCAATGTGAAGTTTGTAAATTAAAAAATCTTGTCAAGGTTAAACCTGTAGTACACATATATAATAAATAGTCAATATGAAAATTCACAAACAATGATGCACATATAAGTTATATACAGAGTTATTGCCCTTGCTCCAAAATATCGAGAAAAAAACACACTGTAATGAATGAATGAATGGAGTTTTACGTCCTACTTATCTGCACCATTTGGGCTAATGAAGACGGGCAATGCCATGCAGGGTGCAATGAGGGAAATTTTGCCAGGACAGCGGCATTAGCTTGCTCTTTTTTCGATTTCCAACTGTCGAGGGATCTTTAATGTGCACAGCCTGTAGCACGTTAAAAATCCGAAGGTATTATCTCGACCTATGCAAGCAAACGTCTAACTCACTGAGCCACCATGACTCCCAAAAACACACTGTAGCACTTTAGGGGATTTTCACAACTATTTGGTAAATAGTTACATTGTATTACAAACATCTGTTTTGTTTCATACCATATAGTATATTTTCAAATTGAAATTTAGTTTTATTTCCTTTTTGGTCCAAATTTTGCCAATGAAGATGGGTAACACAATGCAGTGTGCAATGAGGGAAATTTTGTCAGGACACTAGCATCAGGTTTCAATTTCCAACTATAGAGCCTCATTTTCATGTGTATATTGATTTATTAATTGCTCTATGTACATACAGATTATATATTTTAATGACTATTTGATTAGGTCATTACCGTTTTATAAAGCGTACCAAATTATATTACAATTTTATTGAGGTACTATTGCTGACTAAAAAGCTTGCCATTTGTTTGACAGTACTCAAAACACTAACAAAGCTTAAAATAAGTTTATCATCCAGTTGAGTGGGTTTATGACAAGTTGATATTAAAATAATAAACTTCCCTACGCTTCATTACTTTATATATTATATAGTCTACACTTCATTACCGTCTGGATAATATTAATATAGCCTTCAGTCATCCAGACACTTTCATCTCAACTCAGTTGTATTAAAAGACAAAACTGAATGTTCTGTTTATGAGGGAAGCGGAAAGGAGCATTTAATAGCTAAGCTGGAAAGGGCATTAGATAGCTGAGGGGAGGGCATTAGATAGCTGAGGGGAGGGCATTAGATAGCTGAGGGGGAGGGGAGGGCAATAAATGGTTGAAAGAGAGGGCATTAGAAGGTTGAGGGGAGGGCATTAAATTGCTGAGGGGAGGGCATTAGATAGGTTGAGGGGAGGGCATTAAATTGCTGAGGGGAGGGTATTAAATTAGCTGAGGGAAGGGCATTAGCTAGCTGAGGGGAGTGCATCAAATTGCTGAGGGGAGGGCATTAGATAGCCGAGATGAGGGCATTCGATAGCTGAGGGGGAGGGGGGCAATAAATGGTTGAGAGATAGGGCATTAGGGGGTTATCTAATGACTGAGGAGGAAGGAATTAGATAGCTGAAGGGGGGAGGGGAATGTAACTTTTCACATGAGGAAGTATATCGATTGCAAGTGAGTAAGTATTTAATAATGAAAAGTGGTAGCAGGTGTCTAGAGAAGTAAGCATACCCTGTCCTAAACTAGAAACTAGTTTGTATGTAAATTATCATATAAACTTTGATAATAGATATAAAATATCACAATTCCTCAACTTCTAACACGATAATATCATGACCTTCACACTAAATTACATGACCTTGACACCAAAACACCAATTAAGAGTGGTAGAAAATGTCATCGTTTACCAGACAAATCATTCAAATAACTTTAATTCCTTCAGTTGAAATATCATTGGGTTGATCAAATGTTTCGTTTTATTTTTTTAAATATTAGTTTTATAACCTTAAAAAGTTACAATAACAAAATATTCTCACTGTCAAAATAGTGCTCTATACATTTATTGTATATTTCCTGGACTTACCCAATGTTATAACTATACAATAGAATTCTTCTATAATCAAATAAATCAATAAAACTAAGAATTATCCTTATAACTATGTAATTATTGTAAAACATCTAGAAGGTGTTAAACAGGGATTCTGTTGTTTTGTTATAACACCAGGTAATCCACTGATGAATATATGCTTTATTAGCCAAGTTTATGAAGTTAAATTTTATGTGCATTATAAGAGGTAGAATTTCTTTCTCCAGGTTACAGAAAAGATCATGACATCTTTAATTGTTAACGAGAGCCATCCGTGGGTTTACTTTCCTCTGGGGGTAGGACATGAACAATTCAACCCCTTGCTGGCATCTCTTTAACATTTCTGGCTAATCAACTCTGACACGATGTAAAGTGCTCCGGGAATTTCAAGATGGATGGAATATGCCATGGGTTAAAATATTAACTATAATTTTATCATTACACGACAACCATTATGCAAATTAACTTCCATCATGTGACAGACATATGCAAATTAGCTACATTCCTTTGAGAAAATATTTCTTCGAAGTTGGGAAATCCGTGTCATTTTCAATTTTCATCAAAAATAATGGCAATTCATGCACATTTTAATGAGATGAAAAATGACATGAAATATTGCCAATGTCAAATTTATTCAAATTATTTTAATGAAGATAAGGATCTGCCGTTTTGCATAATTTTCTCTCATGGTTTGATGATGAAAAACAGAATTTAAATTTTTTTGAAAAGTGGACATTTATGTTTGAATTGGTTTCTAAAATGTACAGTTATGATCCGGGTTACGTATTCTCGAAACGATCTTAGCACTAGGATGTCCGATGCTCTTATCTTCTAACATTGATTCTAGGACATCCTAGCGCTAAGATCGTTTTGAGAAAACATAGCCTGGATTTTAAGACCTACAGTAATTTTGAAAATAAGTCAGAACAGAAGATTTCTATTACATTTACATACTGAAAAATTCTGATATAAATAATCACTGGCTCAACTAAAATAGAGACTGGTTGAACCAAGTCTACTGGCCCCTTCCTTTAAAGGCACCAAACCCCACGATAAAAAAAATACAAAACTAGAATATGTATCGCAGTAAGTATTGTAAACACACAATATAAAATGGTTCACAACCAATATCATTGTCCTTATTTAAGAAAATGAGGCATTGACTTGACTTACAGAGGGGTCTCAGAATGTAGGATAGCATATATAAAAAAATTCCCCAGGGGGAGGCTCCAACTCAGTCTTGGCTAGATTTACCATAAATTTTATTAGATTTGAATATGCATGAAACTCTAGACCTGAAGATATTCTTATTCTTTATAATTAATTCATATATTAAATGGTTGTTTTAAATTAAAATTACAATTGTTGATTCTGGGAATACCAAAATATTATATATTCAAAAAACAAGATATTAAACCTTGTTATCATTTTTTCCAACAATGTTCAGGCTAATAATAACTCAAATACCAATCTACCATCACGGTATCTATTGTAGTAAATTATTTACTACATACATCACTACAGAGTCATATTATATTATACAAACTCTCTTACAAAGATTCTTTTAAATCAGTCCAGTAAAAACGGCTTTTGAAAAGTTAGGGTAGGATTTCTTTTATAACGAATCTACAATATGACTTCATGGTTTTGAAACGGAGCAAGGCAAATATAGAGAGAAATAGTGGAACAAGATGCCACTTACTTGAAAGAATGGATGCAGCTTCCTTGAAAATTCAAAAAGACAACTCTTGTATACTTAGACCGATATTAAATTCTATAGTGTTTTAAAGTCGGTATCATCAAGGCCAAAGACCCAAAGTCTGGATATAAGCAGATATTTCGGTCTTGGTGTTTGGGGGCTGCTAGAGTTCCACAGAAGCCAGCGGATTTTAGATGGCCTGAGCTGAATTTTTCAAAATAAGACCTTTCACAGGCCTGAAGGGGTGTGTCTATGTGTGTGTGCTTTTACCCAACTCCTAAATATGCCACTGATGGGACTAACAGGATGTAATTGTTTCAAAGACTTGGTATCTGGTGTTTCAGGCAAAAATATTAAAATATTAGCCTACAAAATTTTTGATAGCGACTCCTTTAATCTGACCTTAATCTATGACAAAAACGATAATCCTGGTGAATTCCATAAGGATGCCTATTTTACTACAAGACTAAATGTTCTGTAAAAATGCCACGGGATATTGGATTCCCGATGTTATTTTGTTAAGAGCAACGATAAGGCCTTCACATTTTCTTAGCATTTAAAAACAAGGAATTCTTCTGTCCTATAATTGTGCAAAGAAATTACGAATCCAACTTTATTAGTTGGACCATAAAACCAGGCTGGGATCGATTACAACAATCGTTAAAATCCTCCTATCAATTGGAAAGGTTTAACATTGCGCTTAGGATTAGTGTGGACCAGTCGACTTGTCTAAGCATGGTGTAAGGGAGGTAACTGCTATTAATAGTGACAGCTTTGGCTTCAGACCACAATGGTGTCATTGACTACTACTATTGACTGTAAATAGATTTCAATAAAGAATCACATCAGAATTAATATTTTTATTTATGTACACCGCTAAAAGTCTACAATATATAATATACACAGTTTAATTTACAATTTATATCTTTATGAAGGGATCGTTACCTTTAAATAGGTTCGAAACTCCTTTAAAGTATAGACCAGCAGTCCTAAAACAAATATAACTTTAATATCACTATTTCGAGTAAAAGAAACAATTAATAAATTTACTATCAATATCAATATTGTCATGATATGGGTACCCGTCAGAATTTTGTTTCGGGGGGGAGGGCATGCCCCTCCATGCCCCTGTAGCCACCTACCTACCTACCAACCAACTCTTGAAACACAAAAAGACAAAAAAGAAAGTTACAACTATGATAAACAAGGATTAAAACTCAGGTTCACAATTAAGAATCCTTTCTACCACCTGGTCAATACATAAAATTGTATCCGTCTAAGAACTAACTTTAATATTATTCAACAACTAAATGTGTAAGTCACGTGGATCCGCTGGTTTAAAATAACGAGACCTATATACATATTTACAAACAATAACATACAGTTGACATTTAAACACAAACGTTTACATGGTAGTCATCTTCACTATGTCAAGATATGAACTTCTTAATATACCTTGGCATCATTAGACACATGTTGTTCTTTATCACGAAGTTTGTGATTTATTTGGACTGTAAGTTAGAGAATACAGCCAATCAGAGTCCTCGACAGACAGACTGTGAACAATAATCCAAAAATGTTTTCAGTCTTTCTGTCGAGGGCTGTGATTGGCTGTATACGCTAACGAGCAATCCAATCAAATTGCCGAATTTACTTCCATGATACAAGATTAGTGGCTATAGCAGTCGAGGTATAAGTCGAAATTTCGCAATATTTTGTCATTAGAAACAGCAGTCATGAATTTAACGATTTAGCAAAATACGGGGAGCTTAAAACCGAGTACTCTCTACAGTAGAAACGTCAGTAGTGGAATTGGTAAAAGCAGGATTGGAAATTCCATTCTTCTGAGCTGAGTCTGGAAGTTGAATTTCAAATTTTTTATTGTCATCTGGTTCCACATTTATTTCCATGGGAACGTCGGTCTTCTTTAACAAGAAAGGGGCAGATAATCCAATTCCTGCTGCCCCCAACGGCGCTGTTATCAATATCGATAACACTGCATATGTTAAGATCTGAAATATCGAAATGAGTGGCGTGCAAAACGAGCGATAGAATGAATGAATGAATGAATGAATGAATGGACAAAAAAACGAATGAATGTGTTTTTTTATTCAGTGGAAGGGAACCAAAAGTAGACGACTATCAGATTATTTTACTAATTTACCACCAAAACTCTACCAGAATTCAAATCAACATGTAAAAATTCAATCTTAAAGTTAATTTTGAAAATTGTCCAATTGTACACTTCAGGGCCTATCTATAAAGGATTTGGAATGATTAGTCCAGTTCTGTTATTGTCTCTAGAGAAAAAAAACTTCAACGAAACCCGAAATCTAAAACAATATTTTGACGAACATTGGAGCAGCTAATGAACTTTTTAGACGAGGAAGTATATCAATTATAAGTGAATAAGTATTTCATAATGAAAAGTAGTATCGGAATAAAACAATTACAAACTTACTGTGGTTGCCAGGCCGAGGACATCATCACCAGCACCATTCTTTATAGCTGTATCCAGGGCAACGGGACCAATAGCAGCCTGATGATACAAGAATTACACTTAAACCATAATAATCACAAAAATCAGTCATAACCTCGATATCGTACGATATAAATTATACCATTTCTTATGAAATGGACCTGTATAGCAGCTTTAATTTACAAAGATATCGTTACATTATACAATATTATGATAATCACATCTTCCTTTCCTGTATAGTAGCTTTAGGCCAATACCGATATACAATTGTATCCGCGATATCGTGATAAATACTGCAATACCTATCGTATGATATCGATTATATCTGTATTCAAGTCTTCGATATTCGCAATATCATGAGAAATACTGCAATACCTATCGTATGATATCGATGTACAAAAGTATTCGATATTTTTCATATCGTGATAGATACTGCAATACTATCGTAGGCGATTGATAACCAGTGGTTCTCCTTACCTGTACAGTAGCTTTCGGTAGCCACGATATCGTGATAAAAATTTTCTCTTTTAAATTGAAATTCATGCCATAGGAAGAGAAGAATGTTACGAACAATCGACAACCCAGACCAATAAACAACATGGCAATTCCAAGACCTGAATAAAACAAAATTTAGATATATAAATACAGAACGTGAAACATGTTGTTATTCAAAGTTTCACCCGGCGTCACTTGCGCATACAAGCATGAAACAGGACATCTAGATTCGCTTATATACCAGAGTGTATCAACATCTACCTACCTATATTACCAGTCTGTAGATTCTCAATAGAAACAGCATTACCAATCAAACCAAACAGTAGAGGTTGAAACACTTTCCAACATTTAGCTAAAACACTTTTAATTGGGAACTGAAAATACAATATGGTTATTTATTATTATGCATGTATTTTCATCAAAAGCATTTGACCGGACTCTGGATGAACTAGTTTTATAAAACACACTGATAGCGAGGGGTAATCTTCAAATTTTACCTTTTCTTGATGTGAAAGGGCATGATTTAAATAAAATCTAAGCTGAGCATGAGAAATTTTTGTGACTCTGAGACCAGGATCAGATAAGGATTTACTCAAAATAAAGAATTTAACTTACTTCGGAACTAGTCCAGCCCCGTTTTCTCCAACCAATACCAGCAACAAAAGCTAAGATTAGTGTACCGAGGGTACCCGCTCCTGGAAACCCGGCTACCCGGAATCCAAACGTGGCCAATAAACCCAGAGCGATGATCATGATAAATCTGTACATTAAAAGATTTTTCTGGAAAGAAATTTTCAAATAGATATTATTCTTTGCCCCAAAGTGGCAAAGCGTCACAGCATTTGTTAGCATTAGCACAGGTCAAGAATTCACTCTTGCTTAGTTGTTCTAGTGAGTTCAATCTGAGCGAAACGGGTAGGGCCGTACACACCAGATCAAGGGTGCCCTAAAGGTGTCCTTTGTTCATAGAATTAATATTATCATTTGAGTTCCAAATTATATCCCTCGCGACGTTGGTTATTTTTTACAGGAAAATCAGCAGTTACTCCACCTTAAATCCCCGGGTGGTCGGTTTTAACACGCACTAACCATTTTAAGATAGTGATCCATTTCTCCCTTCCACCATCCCAATCTGTAAATTGACCAGTAGTGGTCCATTCCCATGAGTAACGTGCACTACTTACACTGTTTTTATTGGGTATAAACCAGAGAAAAACTCCGACACCCACACCAAACACAACACCAATCAATAACTCCAGAGGTCCATGAAATATATTATAGATCAGATCAGCTGGAAAAAAAAAACACATACGTAACGAATACAAATCATGGTAACTGCTCCGTGGCAGGTACGACTTGATTGTTTGGAGGGGCAAATAATATATCCCGAGGGGCAGTTGTATATGATGTTAAGTTACAGTAATGGAACCTTACCCCACCTTAGCTACGGCCGTCGCAGTACGGTGAGGGTATAAAGATGATTTAGTTTTCACTGAAAGATAGCTAACTCTCGTTCCACAAATTCAACTATTGTTTTGTCTATAAAGAACAGGATGGAAGACAGGTTGGTACTCAGGATCTGATTTGGCTGCTCATCAGTAACGTTGGACATAATTTTGTACCCAGATGTAGATATAACAATTATTATTATTATCATTATTATCAAAAGGGGGAAGTATGGTCGCGTCAAGAACGAAACTTCAAGAAATTCATAATAGGTTGACATTGTAAAGATGATGGATCCTAGATTCAAGCTTTCTGGTTGGTACCTACCGTTAGAGAATGCCATTCCAAGAACAATACCAAACCCACTGATAGCTATGACATCATTAACACTACAGGCAGCAATCAGAAGGGTAGGAATTCCCTGGTCAACTCCAAGACCTTTCTCTTGGATTCCGATCATACTGGGAACAACTACGGCGGGTGAGACAGCTGACATCACGAACCTGAAAAAGTCATATATTTGAAAAAAGGTAGCTAATGTAGGAGTAGGAGAGTTGTCGCTTATAACACTTTATTCTTTTGCTGCTACCTCTCAAAATTTATGATCTTAAAGTCCACAAAAGCATATATACAGAACTGAAGGCGAGCTTCATCAAGGCGAATGCAAATCTTCACAGTGGTACATTAGTAGTACTTTCCCTTTTAGAGCTTGAACAGCTGTGACCTAAACAATCGTATATCACACCTGTCAGTAACTTTTAAAATTTCAAACTAAAGCAGCAACTTACCCCAGAACGACCGCCCAGATCCAAGGAAATCCCAACAGAAAGTGAGCTACCACAGCATCTACACCAGCTTCAACAATACAGGGGAACAGCGCCAGTCTTAGCGCCATCCATTTCACTTTTCTCAGAGCATTGGGATCCAGTCCCGAGCCAGCTCGAATTAGGATTACCACCAATGCTATAGTTCTGGAAAAGACGAAACAGGCAATTGTACAAATACATTCTATATTTTGAGGTTAACTCCAACTTAACTTTAAATTACTTAAAGTTACCAGTTACTAATGTTTCGTCAATGTGTTGTTTGGATTGCGGATTTTTTTTTACGGTTCGGATCGTTAGTATTTGGTATATATATATTTATTCTGTCCATTGCATACAATCATTGGCACAGCAAGCACCTGCAAGTATTGGCTTTGACCCTTCATGTTGCAGAATTCATTTCATTCATCAGCACAGTCAGGTACAGGCCAATCTCAAGATGATATGCTGTGACCATTAACCCAGCGATTATCCCCTTGCAGTGATGAAACAGGTCGGAAGGGTAACATTGAAAGAATGTGATAAAAGAGAATCTAAACCGAGACCACCTGTGCTACAAACTGTGCATGAAAAAAAAAAGAATAATGCCTTTTTCTTAGTCGAATCAGAGTAGGAATATCGGACGTAAAACTCGATTTTAGTTCTATTTAAGCTAATAAGATATAAATTATATATATTAATATCCACCTTAAATTGGAAGCCCAAGCTTTCTCTATATCTCTACCAATGTCTATTCCGGGGACGTTTCTGAGACAGAATCCGACCAATAACATACCTAGAATAGAACAACAAAATCTGAAATCCTTTGAACTAATTCAGTTTCATTGGTCATTATTTAGTGGTTTACAGAGAAGGACTTCCAAGGAGAGTCAGGAGACCCAATGGACTCTCAGTGAAGGTCCACAGGGGTTCAAAAAAAGGTTTTCCAGCTTCTGTGGATCATTAGTAGACTGTTACGGCTGTTGTTAACTTCTACCGATGAATGTATTGTCAATATGTTGTTTTGGAATTCGGGTTTCATTTTTCGTCTGAAGTTCTTTTAACTCATGAAGGTATGCAATGTAAAGATTGATAGGTTTCCTTTTCTGAGAGTAAGATGTTGCTCAAATAAATGGTTGATAATAACACAATAAACAATGTTGAAAAAGCAGTGTATAACACTTACCTAACAAGGGTGGAAAGGGAGTTAATTCTATAATAGCAGCTGCAACCACACAACCATAGATCAGCACCAACAGGGCGAAGAAATTCCCTCCTGGTAGAGCTTGATCTCCTGTTATAGCCCAAAATGTTCCCCAGATAGCTGCTGCAGCCAATATTTTGGAAATCCACATAGCTAACTTCCCATGGGGTGGGCACATAAAGGCGTATTTCAGCCTCTCACAACACCCGGCACCCTCGTCAGGTACATTATAGTCTGCCCTACACGGCATACACCGCGGACGGCTGGTCCTGCCCGCGACATCCATGTTGGTAATTCTGTAATCTTCTTATTCCTTGCTCCTAATAAATTCAAAGAAAACGTTTATTTATGTCTTTATTCCATACAAAAGTTAAATGAACTCTTCAGTAATAACATCGATAACATGAACGAAAGATCCCAGTTATTTATAAACGGCCTCTGGAATTCAACGTTTTTCAAAAATCCTGGAATATATTCTCATAAATTACTTCAAGGGTTTACAGTTATCAGGAATTCAAAGCAGATCCAGATATCCTTAAATTTGTTCCAAATATAACTTCAAGGTTCACTTTTTTTCAAAATTCGAGCCCACGAATCCAAAACATTGTGCAAACTACTAGCCTATAAGAATTGACAATATTCAGGAAACGAGTAAAATATTCAAACTTGCGTCAATCAAACAACAACAATGACTGTTAATTTCTTAAAGGAAAATGTCCAAAACTTTTTTAGAATCAAAATGCCAATGTCGTGACCTCTGAACGAAGGTCCTAGATTGCTAGTAATTGAACACAGTGACATTCAATTCAAGAACCTATGGTACGTCCACAGCACTTCTGCAGTTTGAATATCAACCCCGACATTTGAAGCACGATTAAGTCAGTCGCCTAGGCACCGCAGCTGTACGTATGTACTGGCTTCTCTTTAGGGAAAAATGTGTACCTTAAATTTACAGATAAGTGTGTTTGAAAATAGTTATTTGTTCATTTCAATCGATATGAAAACATTGGAAATTGGCTCATCTAGATGCTTGAGAGTTCAATAAAGGGTTGTGGTCCGTCCACGAGGAGTATTGTTGACACATGCTCTAATATATTGTTAACACAGCATCGGTTTGCTATCCTTTAAGACGCTTGCTTAGGGTATATTTTTTTGTTTAAAACATTGTATTTTTTTTAGAAGTGAGGATCTCCTTTAGGAATGGGGGCGGTGGATTCGGTTCTACCAGTCCCTAGAGTAGTTGAACCACTGATATTGGACGGTAATGGCCCTTTAATGAATCCGATTCATCAGTGAAATTTATTAAGAAGAGAGTGTAGACCATAGTTCCGGGTAGCACCTTTTATATAACAAGGAAACAAGCCGCATACTGATCTTTGGCGTGTGGTTATTCAATCTGAACATACCGCTAAAGGTGGTGGGGTCACATTATTTCAAAGTCTTGTTTAACCCAGACTGACACACGGGGTCAAATGGTATTTTATTTTTGGCAATGTCGCCAACTTACCCATGCCTTTTGTTTTTAAAAAGTACATGACCCATTTAATGTGACCTTATCTGTCACCAGATGTGTATGGTTGCGAATAAGAACAGCGGTCACAAGTTTCGAACGCATTCTCATGCAACTGAGTTGTGAGTTACATTCGGATCTCATGACCACTTTCATTATTCGTAACCGTACGGTACTGGTAATCGCTATTGTGTGGGGATACTTTGAGATTCAGGTTATAAATGAATAATACCCGAGACGAATAAAGATGTATTGGAGCTGGAGAATTTGATTTAACGTTTCTTCATCTAACACTTCACGTCACAATGAGCAAAAAGGAAGATTTTGGCCAAAAAAAAAAAAAAAGACGTCGAATTCCAATAGTACCATAAATAGACAGACTTTCTTTTCAATTGAAATAAAGTTATTACTATTCAGTTTGAAAGGTTCAACCCTCATAGAGAATCTTCACAAGTTCAAGCTAAAACGAAATTTGTCAAAGTCCGATTTATACTAAGCTAAACGAAGCACATATTTTTCTTCGCTCGAGCGTAGCAAGCTTCAAAGCTAGGCTATGAAACGAAGTTGCACCTTTATTGTACCTTCGCAAATTCATTTTCAAGCTAGGCAAAGAAGTTGGAGGGGGCCTTACTTCTTCGCTTCGCTTTGGTCTTTGCAACCAATCAGAGACAGACGAAACAAACTGGCGTTGACAAATTTGTCTTGAAATCGCGAAGTTAAGCGATGCGTAGCGAATCAAAGCTACACTCTTAAAAATAAAATCGACCTATTGCGTGACTACCATAGCCACCTTTCTTGTATAGTTTGTAGATAAAGTGATTTGATTGGATTGTTCACGAGTGAATACAGCCCTCGACAGCAAGTCTGAAAATAATTAGCCATAATATTAACAGTCTTTCAGTCGAGAACTCTGATTGGCTGTATTCACGGGCGTGTAATCCAGCCCTAGTCAATTCGGCATCCCTTTTGTGGATCTTTATCAATTTGAATATAGTGGCTATTTCAGTTAAGGTATAAGATTAAGTTTATAATAGCTAGTGAAGATGTAATAGCTATCACTGCAACCCTTTCCTAAATCTATATATAGATTTAAATATTATTCATAAAAATTTGAATTACATTATCTTTAAATATACACCTATTTTTCTGAATATAAATAAATTAAATGCGTGTCAATGCATCAAAGAAAACAAATTTAAAGTAAAGAATGATAGATGATAGATTTTTAAAAGTGTTGTATATCAATGTTGACAAGATATAACGACCATGTAAGATAAATGAGGCTCATCGATCTGAAGGTCATGCTAAAAAATTGATACGTTCTCGCATGTCATATTGCCTTTGTACATGAAACTTTAATTTGAATATGACAGAAGTTACCCTCAGTTTTAATCCTATAATTACATGTCTAAAGTTACTGTTTTGTCATCAGCGAGGTAGGTAATAATTTATGCACCCGTTTATGCATCGTATCGAATGTCTGAAATCTTTATAAACATAAATGTTTTAAGCAAATAAGCAGTCGCCTACGCAGCCCCGAAAGCAAGTTTTTCAGGCAAAATTCTCATAACTAGATTAGAAATTCGGGCAATCTCAGACAATCCGCCCTAATCAAGTAATCGAGTACTCGTCAGTAAAATTGATGTACGAGAGGGCTTTAAATGGTAGCCTTGTCTTACCCCAATATTGTTAAACTGATTTTTAGAGAATTTGCTATAACATTATTAGCTAAGAGATGTTTTAAAGGGACAGATGTGCCATTTTGGGGGATTTTAATCTTGAATGTAATCTAAATAGTACTACAAATGTATGAAAATCACACAATTCATTTAAAAATACTTCAAACTAGGAATTCACTCACTATTTCTATATATGTCTTTTCTATATATCACAGAGTCGTCATTTTAACGTTCAAACGCGGATAATTCTGGACACACGTGGATTTGATTACTCATATTTCGACGGTGAGCTGTGAACACTATTACTGATTAGCTCAGCTAAAAATTCCAATTTATGAGACTAAAGTATGATTGGTCAAAAAATGGCCTTCTTGTCCCTTTAAAGGACAAACTAATTCGCAGTGAGTGAGTGAGCATTCCCTGTGAAGCTATTTAAACACAATATTATGGGATGCTTTACAATTATCAGCTTGTTATATGAGCTTGTCAGTAACTGTATGTGTTTCTTGGTGACTGTTTATGCTATATGGTTAAAATATTCCAAATCTCATGATGTAGAACTTGTCAACTATTAGTATGTAAGGTTTGGACTAATTTAGTACTACAAATCGTATAACAAGATTGAAGCTACCCCATCAAACTTCAAAAACATTTTAAAAACAGTAACACTTTTTCTTGGAAATTTTGACATATATTCAATTATTCAAAATGGTATAAGTGACAGTTTTGTCAATTTTGGTGGTTTATTTTGGTCTTGAATGTATGCAAATAGTCATCAGAAATACTAAAAAGTTGCATAATTCATTCAAAAATCTAAAACTAGGAATTTCACTTTCTATTTCTACATATGTCTTTTCTATATATGGCAGCGTCTCAAGAAAAGACGAGTCGTCGTTTTAACTTTCGAACGCAGACAATTCTATACACATGAATTTGAAGACTCAAATTTCAACGGTGAGCTGTGAATACTATTACTGATAGCGAATTTGTCCCTTTAACAAGAAGAATCTCTCTGCAAGGATCGTACGAGATAAACATTACAGCCACAGACCGAAAATAAAGGTATATAGCCATCTTCGCAATATTCCAGTCGACTAAACGGGCCACCTGATGGTCCATGTTTACCCGACCCAGGTATAAATGGTCTACAGGCAACTTTTACTTAGCTTATATCAAATTCAAATACTATAGAAAAACCACAAAAAAGCCAGGTAAATATGAAATTTTCCTCTTCTAATTCATAAACATTCATCTGTTATAAATCATAGTAAATGTTGTAATGCTCTAGATGATTTAATAATGACGAAACAATGTCAAACGTTGTGTTGATGACGAGCTGCCCCGAGGGTAGAAAAACTAGTCCTGTCAGTTATAAATATCTCAAACAGTGTCTGTGATAAATGTTTGTGTTTTTTCCATAATGAAAAATATTTTACGATTATTCTCATCATTAGGGCGAGTATTGTATCTAAATAAAGCCACCAAATTAGTCTAAGGAAAGGGATGTGGAGAGGATAAACGTTGTTGAAGAGAGACACGAGGTGTGTCAAAATGGTAAAAATGTCCCCAAAATAAGCTTGTTAGGCTTTTTTGAAATATCAGGCACACAGAATTTTCCCACATAAACAATATACAGGATTTGTGGCCTCTTTGAATGAGTTATGGTGTTGGAAAACCCAGTTGCAGAAAGTATCAAGTGTCCCAGAGGAATGAGCTTGTCCTGGATCACTAGTGTTTTAATGGTTGACAGTTTGTTTTTCTTCTCGCTTCATGTTTATCCCATTGATTCTCACACCTAGACTTTGCAATATGAATTCTGGTTTTGATATGTCAGTTTTCTCCTTGTGATATGAATAATAGTTTTGATAGGTATATGTCAGTTTTCTCCTTGTGATATGAATAATAGTTTTGATATGTCAGTTTTCTCCTTGTGATATGAATAATAGTTTTGATAGGTATATGTCAGTTTTCTCCTTGTGATATGAATAACAGTTTTGATAGGTATATGTC